GAAGAAGTGAGGTTCTTACCCACGAAAGCTTATGCTCCCAATACTTCTGTTAGTCTCAAAGGTGCCACAGGACCCTCTGTTGCTTTTTACAGATTCAGACTAACACGGCTACCCCTCTGATACTTTATTTTTGTAGTCATCATTTCCATAGAGTACTTCACTACTTGGAGAAAAAAAAGCCCAAGGCAGCTGAACCTTGTAATCCCTGAGACCCTTATAGTTGATTTTACAGCCAATTTTAAATAATTTACACTATTTAAAGGAGATGGCAAATTCTTTGGACAGTCTAGCAGCTTGGGGGAGGGATAGCTCAGTGGTTTGAGCATTGGCTTGCTAAACCCAGGGTTGTGAGTTCAATCCTTGAGGGGGCAAAAATCTGTCTGGGGATTGGTCCTGCTTTGAGCAGAGGGTTGGACTAGATGATCTCCTGAGGTCCCTTCTAACCCTGACATTCTATGATTTAGAGTTCTTTCCCTGTCTGTCAAATAGCCTAGGCAAGAGGAGCACTCAGAATATAATTAACTCTTACTCCCCCCCACCCCCCCATTTTTCCAGGTCCCAACATCCATTTTTATTGGTCCCATTTTGTGACATCCCAGCTTGCACTACCCTAGTGATGGGAGATCAGTCGCAGGACCCACCTGGATCATAGAGTTGGCATTTAGGTGGTCTAAGTGCTGTTGTTTTTATTTTATTTTGCTCATTTTTTGATCCCATAGGGGAAGAGCATATGATATTTAAAAGGAGCACTTTGCAAACCCATGAAGTGTTGTGAAGAAGCAATACTTCTCTTCCCTTTTAAGCCAATGTCCAAGGATTTCTAAGGGCTTGTCTACATGGGAATACTCGGGAAAGTTAATCTGAATGATTTTTTTTTAAAGTGGATTAGTTAAACTGCATTGGACTCCTATGTGGACACTCTTATTCAGATTTAAAGCAGCATTAATTTGATTTATCTTAATTCACTTTGGAAGTGAATCAAAAAACACGCAGGGATTTAATGTGGTTTAATTAATCCGCTTTAAATTCACACCTTTAGTTTAATTTGGATTAATTTTCTTGTGTGTTCTTGTGAAGACAAGCCCCAAGTTTTATGTGATACCATCAGCACAGTGCATGACCAAGAGCCTGCAAATCCAGTCTTTGAGACCTGAAAAAGAAAGAATATAAAAAGTAAGTTCTATGTCAGTTTTGTGTTTTGCCCATCTCACCAACCCTACTTGAGGCATTGAGCACATAAAGTAATCAAAGAAGTGCTGGATTTGTTTCAAAGTACAGTATTTGGAGGTCATCATTAAGTAATGTGACAGCACTAGTTTGTCTGTGTGAGGACTGTGTAGAAACTCAGAGGCTGAAGATTCAGTTTCTCTCTCTATGCTGTCTTCTACTTAGAAGAACGTGGTCAGTTTGTAGGGATAATTGTCTCAAGACTCCGTCCAGGAAAATAAATGTATGAACTAGCTACAAAAAAAAAATCTGTTTCTCTCTAATAAGAAATTACTCCTGGATTCACAGCAAAGTCTCTACAGGTTTGGGAGACTATGCTGAAAGAAAAATATTCATTAACATCTGTCATTGCTTATAGAAGAGGCTAACCCATAAAGTGTGTAACCAGTATTCCTTCGCCTTGTGTGACTGAAGCCAAGCCATTTGAAAAAACAACCCATCTTGTGTTTTTCCTGCATTTTGACTCTTTTGGTGCCTAGAGTTTTGCTGGAGAAACTGAACAGCGACTGCTGCCATTCCAAGTGAAACGCTCAGTTTCAGGACTGAAAGCAATAGGAATTGGGAGCAATATATGACCTCTTGTAAATGAGTCATGACCATACCAAATTCTAGAACTAGGAAGAAAGCACTCTAAAGAATAGAGATCTAGTTGTAATATCACTTAGTGTTTGATCAATTTCCATCTGGACATGTCTATCCAGGTAACCCCTGAGTAGTGTGTTATGTTTACTATAACTCAGAGAGATTAAAGATATTTTTTAAGTATCAGAGGGATAGCCATGTTAGTCTGTATCCACAAAAACAATGATATTTGTTGATATTTTTGTTCTCTGATTGTTTAGTCTCTGTACTTTGATGGACCTTTGTGTAGAGTGGCCAGTGTCCTGGTTTGCTGAGTGCCATTCCTCAGGTCCTGCAAGGCAGTGTTTACCAGCAATGAGAGCAGCAAACATTGAAAGTGATCAGGCAGCAGTAAGTATATGGCTAGGTCTACACTACAGCGGGGTTCCGACCTAAGATACGCAACTTCAGCTACGTGAATACCGTAGCTGAAGTTGCGTATTTTAGGTCGGCTTACCTGGCGGTGAGGACGGGGGAAAGTCGACCGCTGCCGCCGACTCCGCTGCCGCCTCTTGCCGAGGTGGATTTCCGGAGTCGACGGCAGAGCGATCAGGGATTGATTTTACCGCGTCCTCACGAGACGCGGTAAGTCGATCCCTGATAGACCGATTGCTACCCGCCGGATCGGCGGGTAGTGAAGACATACCTTGAGTGTATAGAGAGAGTGGGAAGGGAAGGGATGTGGGCTTGACTATGTATAGTTGAGTTGCTCCCAGACACAGACCAGGAGCAGAGAAAGCCTTATATGTGTCAGGCCATCCTATTAAAAGGTGCTCCGACAAAAAACTGAATTTCACACTATGATTGCATAGGTGTTCAATCTGAAGTGTGTGTGTGGTTTTAGTTCCACTCCCTGACATTCACTTCCAGAACCTATTATTTAAAAAAAAAAGTCACTCTTAAGTCCTGTGCTCCAGCCCATTCATAAAGTAGGAAACATGCTTCTGTGTATGTGATCGTTGTGCCTAATGTCAGGAACCTACTTTGAAATGCTTGTGTCTCACCTCCTAACACACCCTGTGTCTGTTGGTAGTTCAGTGATTGATAATACTTTGTGTCAGTTATGTGCCTTATCTATTCAGGATTTTCCTGCACTGATCTTCAAAGCGCCACCCTGTTCCAGAATATGCCTATACAGACCATCCTTCATTTACACTCTTGTTTATCTCTTTTGTTTAGATGCTATGATAAAGCTCCTCGGAAAGCCTTCTAGCACATCATGAAGATCCTGGGGCATCCTCTAAACAGAGTGCATTGTCCATCTGCTGTCGAACCCATCAAAGAGCAAGGAAGTCCCCTAAATATGAATGATATCAAATGGACTCCTTGAAGATTGTACTAGACTTAATGGCTAAGCTATAAATATAGAGGGTGAAATATTGTACCAGCCAGAAACGTGCCCACTGTTGATCTTGTTGGAATCCAGAGTGTGCAGATCTCTGGGATGGTGGAAGGTACAATGAGGACTAGGTCATCAAAGGAGGCAGACCTGCCCTGACCCTGCTGTCCCAGTCCAATACTCCCACACACTCCATCACACTGAAGCCAAGCTGAGTGTCTTGAGGCTGGTGGCTGATGGATGAGCTGGACAATGATTTTAAAGAACTCTGTGCTAACCTATTGAGCAGGGTCAAGAAAAAGGCTGGAGATGCTGAGGGAGGGAGGAAGGTTCAGAGCAGGACAAGGAGCACTGCAACAAAAAGCAAATTAAAAAAGAGCAAGTCAACTGCTAAGAGCAAAAGCCAGCATGACTCCTCTGTGGGAAAGAGAATGGGCTGGCCAGGGTGCACGGACCCCAATGAGCAGGCATTGGGGCATGAACCAGAAGGTGAAGCTGCAGCCTGTGGAAATGATGGGCCTCCACTGGGAGATGAAAATGGAGACCCTCCTGCCATTCAGTTGGATGCTACGGTACCAAACTGTAGCCAGAACACCCTGGCAGGTAATATCTCCAACCTCCGTCTCCTTCCCTCACTCTGAAATATTTCTAATGGAAAATAGCCTGGTGCTAGAAGGACTCTCACGTTCAGATGAACTTTTCTAAACTCCACCCAGAGAGGGGTACCAGGCAGTTAGGATTGCACAGGGGGTACATTTTGCTCACCCATACCATTAGACAGTGCATTAGACAGTATTCAACTCATTAGACTGACACCTTTGACTGTCCCTAGTAACTGTTCTTCAACAGTGTTGTCAGATAGGAGAGGTCTCCCTCGGTCAGGTGAAGCACAGAGAAGGGAGGGTTCCCCAAAGCAGCCAAGGCTGCAATGAGGTATTGCCCTGGCAACTCCTTCTGCCTGCTCCTCCCTATTTCTCCTCTCCAGAAACCCTTCACTCCTATTGCTCAGCATCTCTCAGGCCCCATGATTGGTAGAGGGTGGAAGTCAGATCCTAAAGTGCTGGTTGGGAGTTGGTGTGGCCCAATGGATAGCGCATGGACTGGAATTCAGGAGATCTGGGTCCAGAGGTGAGCTGGAGCCAGTTCCCACTGGTTCGCGGGAAGCTCCAGCAGCTCCCTGCCCTTCCCCCGGCCCCAGCTCACCTCGCTCCGCCTCCTCCCCTGAACGCTCCTCCCGGCTTCTCCTCCCCCTCCCCGGCTTCCCGCGAATCAGCTGTTCGCGTGGGAAGCCTGGGAGGGCTGGGAAGGAAGCAGCGGCTTCCCGCAGGTGAGCGGGGGTGGGGGCACGAGGAGGGCTCCAGGCGCCGCCCAGCTCAGCTCCGGCCGCCCGGCCCCGGCCAAACACCCCGACTCCAGCAGCTCCGGCTCCGGCCGAACACCCCGACTCCAGCGGCTCTGGCCGAGTCGCTCCGGTTGCGGCCCGGCTCCGGCCCCGGCCCTGGCCCTGGCCAAGCAGCCCAGCGGCCCTGGCCCAGCTTCCATCTCCAGGCAGCGCGGTCAGGGAGCAGGGAGGGGGTGTTGGATAGAGGGCAGGGGAGTTGGGGGGTGTGGATTAGGGTCGGGGTGGTCAGAGGGCAGGGAACGGGGATTGAATGGGGGCAAGGGTCCCGGGGGGCAGTCAGGAAGGAGCAGGGGTTGGGCGGTGGGGGGCAGTCAGGGGCAGGGGTTCCTGGGGCAGTCAGGGGACAGAGAGAAGGGGGGTGGATGGGGCAGGGATCCCGGGGGGGGGGGCTGTCAAGGAACATGGGGGGTTGGATGGGGCAGGAGTCCCGGGGGGGCCACGACCCCCACGTGGGGTGAGGAGGAAGGAACCGGTTGTTAATATTTTGGCAGCTCATCACTGTCTGGGTCCTATTCCCGGCTCTGTAACTGACCTGCTGTATGACCTGGGGCCAGATTGTCACGGCTTTGTGCCTCAGTTTCCCCATCTGTAAAATGAGGTTGATGACACTGACTTCCTTTGTAAAGCACTTTGAGATCTACTGATAAGTGCTGTAGAAGAGCTAGGTATGATTATTATTACGGGGTGAAACTCACTAGCTAAGCAAATTGTGCATCCAGTCCACTCAGAATCAGCATACTCTAAAATCAAGAATGGCTCAGGCTGCTGTAGGAGGAGGCTTCTCTGAAACCCTCTCATCTTGACTGTTAGCTGGGGCCTGGTCTACACTAGGCGTTTATGTCGAATTTAGCGCCGTTACATCGAATAAACCCTGCACCCGTCCACACCACGATGCTATTTAGTTCGATATAGAGGTTTCTTAAATTCGACTTCTGTACTCCTCCCCAACGAGGGGAGTAGCGCTAAATTCGACATGGCCATATCGAATTAGGCTAGGTGTGGATGGAAATCGACGCTAATAGCTCCGGGAGCTATCCCACAGTGCACCACTCTGTTGACGCTCTGGACAGCAGTCCGAGCTCGGATGCTCTGACCAGCCACACAGGAAAAGCCCCGGGAAAATTTGAATTCCCTTTCCTGTCTGGGCAGTTTGAATCTCATTTCCTGTTTGGACATCGTGGCGAGCTCAGCAGCACTGGCAACGATGCAGAGCTCTCCAGCAGAGATGGCCGTGCAATCGCAGACTAGAAAGAGGGCCCCAGCATGGACTGATCGGGAAGTCTTGGATCTCATCGCTGTGTGGGGAGATGAGTCCGTGCTTTCCGAGCTGCGCTCCAAAAGACGGAATGCAAAGATCTATGAGAAGATCTCTAAAGCCATGGCAGAGAGAGGATACAGCCGGGATGCAAAGCAGTGCCCTGTGAAAATCAAGGAGCTGAGACAAGGCTACCAGAAGACCAAAGAGGCAAACGGACGCTCCGGAGCCCAGCCCCACACATCCCGTTTCTACGAGGCACTGCATTCCATCCTTGGTGCGGCCGCCACCACTACCCCACCAGTGACCGTCGACTCTGAGGATGGGATATTGTCCACGGCCGGTTCCTCGGACATCTTAGCGGACGGGGAAGATGAGGAAGGAGATGAGGAGGACGAGGCAGTCGACAGCGCTTCCAACGCTGATTTCCCCGACAGCCAGGATCTCTTCATCACCCTCACAGAGATCCCCTACCAACCGTCCCCAGCCGTTAACCAGGACACAGAATCAGGGGAAGGATCAGCCAGTAAGTGCTTTAAACCTCTAAACATTTATTTTTAACAGAACAAGAATTTTAACAATACCAACAATGGGTTTCTCATGATTAGTTTGCCCTAGGCGCTTAACGTTTCAGTCCCTGGCAGTGCAACTATTAAAAACAAATCTAACAATGTCCGGTTTTGCATGATTGTTCTGCCCAAGCCGCTCTACTGTTTAGTCCCTGCCAGTGCAGCTACAGTAAAATGCGGTCCACATGTCCGGGGATAGAGCAGAAATCCTCCTGGGACATCTCCACGAAGCTCTCCTGGAGGTAATTGGAAAGCCTTTGCATCAGGTTCCTGGGGAGAGCGGCCTTATTGGGTCCTCCGTAGTAGCTAACATTTCCGTGCCAGGAGACCATCAGGTACTCAGGGATCATTGCCCTGCAGAGCATGGCGGCATACGGCCCTGGTCTTTGCAGGCTTTCCCGGAGCATTCTTTCTTTATCTCTGTCTGAGATCCTCATCAGGGTGATGTCGCTCATGGTGACCTGCTTTGAATTAGTTAGGGGAATGTTAGTATTGGGACTGCTTGCCCGTTTCTTTACAGAACTTTAACCGCCGGTTTACAGCCACGCGGTGGAGGCGGGAGAGGGGCAGCATACAGGGATTTTTCCCTGGGACAGCCGCGAGGGGGTGGGACAGAGGCAGAGTTGACTAGCATTGCTTTCAATGTGAAAGGAGGCCAGTGCTACTATCAAAGTTTTAAGCAGCCACAAGTATACGGCTTACCATGTCTGCCTGCTACCCAAATTCCGGTGTCCTGCCCCGCTTCTCAAATCGGCAGTGCAAGACCCCAGGCACTGAATTCGAGGGCCGAAAATTCGACCTTGTCCTGAGTGCACATGTGATAGGTACAGTGCATGGTCTTGTTCACAGAGAAAGACTATGTTCTTTGTTCACAACTACATTTATCTTTCTGAGGAATTCACTCCCTTTTTCCCATTCCCACAGCCACATCTGCGACTGTCTCCCAACCCAGCCTGGCATCACGCACCCAGAGGCTAGCGCAGATTAGGCGGAGGAAGAAGAGGACGCGGGAGGACATGTTCTCAGAACTAATGGGCTGCTCCCGAGCCCAGGCAGCACAGCAGACACAGTGGAGGGAGAACTTGTCCCAAATGCACCGGACGCACATGGAACGTGAGGAGAGGTGGCGGCAGGAAGACCAGCAGGCGACTCAAACGCTGCTTGGACTTATGAGGGAGCAAACGGACACGCTCCGGCGCCTTGTTGATGTACTGCAGGAACGGAGGCAGGAGGACAGAGCAGTAACCGCCCTCCCCCGCCACCAAGTCCCATACCCCTCTCACCCAAAGTACAAAGAAGGAGGGGCGGCAGAGTCCGTGAAAACTCTCACTCTACCCCTGCAGACTGCTCAAGCACCAGAAGGCTCTCATTCCCCTAAATTTGAAAAGTCCTTTCCTTCCCACCTCACCCAAGCCCCCGTCCAAGTTTCACCCCCCAGTTTCATGTGTGGTTGTTAATAAAAAATATGTTTCTGTTCATTACTGTTTCCATCATCTTCTTTAGAGGAGAGTCTGTCTGAAGGGGGGTAGGGTGGTTGGTAATAGGACAGGACAGCAGCAGGGCACACACACAGTGCAGTCACTAGTTACCCTGGTCAGTCTGGGAGGTGGTTTTCATGTTCTGTGGGGGGGTGGGGGGTTGCTCTGTGACTTTGTGGAGGGGGAGGGCAGTTACAGATCTTATGCAGCGGCCCTTATCCTGGATGACAGAGCCACACTGCAGGGGATCTGTAACCCTCCTCCCCCTGCCACAAAGTCACAGAGCCACCACATACACGCAGTCGCCATCAGGAGGGCTGGCAGGCTCCGTTGAAACAACCAGTCCACCACTGCGGAGCCTGTCATTCCTGCAGTTTAGAAGCGTCATTTGCATCAGTACACTACACCCGCTCCCCACCACAGTCTGCGTCCCAGGTTTAAAACATTCCCGCGAAAACAGTAATAAAGAAAACGGTGTCCATTAACAAAATAGAAGTCATTTTATTTTTAAAGGTGTGTTGGCAGGGGGTGAAGGAGGTGTGTAACTGTAGAGGATAGTCAACATTGACTGGGTAAAGAAACGGGGACAGGTTCAGCTTCTCTGTACACAAACTTAAAAGTCACAGGTTACCCTGCTCACTCTGGAACCTAGCTTTCAGAGCCTCCCGGATGCACAGCGCGTCCTGCTGGGCTCTTCTAATCGCCCGGCTGTCTGGCTGAGCGTAATCAGAAGCCAGGCTATTTGCCTCAACCTCCCACCCCGCCATAAAGGTCTCCCCCTTGCTGTCACAGAGATTGTGGAGCACACAGCAAGCTGCTATAACAATGGGGATATTGGTTTCGCTGAGATCACAGCGAGTCAGTAAGCTTCTCCATCTCCCCTTGAGACGGCCAAAAGCACACTCCACCACCATTCTGCACTTGCTCAGCCGGTAGTTGAAGAGTTCTTTTTCAATGTCCAGGGCGCCAGTATAGGGCTTCATGAGCCAGGGCATTAGCGGGTAGGCTGGGTCCCCGAGGATCACTGTAGGCATCTCCACATCCCCAAGAGTTACTTTGTGGTCCGGGAAGTAAATACCTTCCTGCAGCCGTCTAAACAGACCAGAGTTCCTGAAAACGCGAGCATCATGAACCTTGCCCGGCCATCCGACGTTGATGTTTGTAAAACGTCCCCGATGGTCCACCAGTGCTTGCAGCACCATTGAAAAGTAGCCCTTTCTGTTAATGTACTGGCTGGCCTGGTGGTCCGGTCCCAGGATAGGGATGTGAGTTCCATCTATAGCCCCACCGCAGTTTGGGAATCCCATCGCGGCGAAGCCATCTATGATGGCCTGCGCGTTTCCCAGGGTCACTACCTTTGAGAGCAGTACCTCAACGATTGCGTTGGCTACTTGCATCACAACAACCCCCACGGTAGATTTGCCCACGCCAAAGTGGTTCGCGACTGACCGGTAGCTGTCTGGCGTTGCAAGCTTCCAGAGAGCTATGGCTACTCGCTTCTGGACAGTCAGGGCTGCTCGCATCCGGGTGTCATTGCGCTTCAGGGCAGGGGACAGCAACTCACAAAGTTCCATGAAAGTCCCCTTCCGCATGCGAAAGTTTCGCAGCCACTGTGATTCATCCCAGACCTGCAGCACTATGCGGTCCCACCAGTCCGTGCTTGTTTCCCGGGCCCAGAATCGCCGTTCCACAACATCCACATGACCCATTGTCACCGTGATGTCCTCGGCGCGGGGTCCCGTGCTTTCTGACAGGCCTGTGCTACTCTCAGACTTCAGGCCCTCACCGCGGTGCCGTAGCCTCCTCGCCCGATTTATCTGCATCTGCCTCTGGGAAAGGTGGATGATAAGCTGCGAGGCATTGACAACGGACACAACTGCAGCGATGGTCGCAGCGGGCTCCATGCTCGCAATGCTGTGGCGTCCGCGCTGTCACTGACCAGAAAAGTGCGCGAACTGATTTCCCGCCGGCGCTTTCAGGGAGGGAGGGAAGGAGGGCGGTAGTGACGGACGGATGACGACAGTTACCCAAAAGCACCCTCGACGCATTTTTTTACCCAGAAGGCACTGGCGGCTCGACCCAGAATTCCAATGGGCAGCGGGGACTGCGGGAACTCTGGGATAGCTGCCCACAGTGCACCGCTTCCAATGTTGACGCTTCCCCCGTTAGTGTGGACTCACAAAGTCGAATTACTGTCCTTAGTGTGGACACACACGTTCGACTTTGCAATATCGATTCCACATATTCGATTTAAGTGAAATCGAACTACTCTCGTAGTGTAGACATACCCTGGGTGTTTAATGCAGATTTGCAAAGCCCCAGATGGAACAGTTACTAGGACTGTGCTTTTTTCCCCACCAGGCAGTGACAAGCGCAGATCATCCTTTGCTGCTGCTGCAGAACCAGCAACCTCCACCTCATCCCCTGCGAAGACGCTCCAGATCTCAGGAACCAGGCTGCGGGTAGCAGAGCTGGTGCTGGAGAGGATGCAGCAGTTTAAGAGAGTGGAACCAAAACAGCTGAAACATACCCGGGGCAGCAGCTTGCTAGAGACAGTAACAGATGGAAACATCCCTGATGTGATCCAGGAGAAGAACCAGCCAGGGAATGGTATATGTCTCTTGCAAGCTATCCTAAATATACAAGGAGTGCTGTCTAGTGGTTAGAGTGCCAGACTGGGAGTCAGCTTCAGGATTCCTGGATTTTATTCCCAGCTCTGCCGCTAGCTCATTATGTGGCCTTGGATAAATCCCTTAATCTCTTGTGTGTCTCACTTTCCTCATCTGTAAAATGAGGCTAACAATACCTGCCTCACAGGGCTGTTGTGTGGCTTAGTTAATGTCTGTAACAGGCGTTTAGATCCTGGAGGGGATGGTGATCTAAGCATCCTGTTTGAAATAGATTTCTTGGAAGCACAGGTTCAAATCCCAGCAGGGTCAGTTCACTCTTTCGTCCTTCCAGTGTAACAATAATGATAATAGCTAACTCTTATATAGCACTTTCATCAGTAGATCTCTAAGCACTTTATCAAGGAGGTCAGTATCATTGTAAATAAACTGAATCTTTGAAAACTAAGATCATCTTGGCTCTGTGTGGACATTAAAAATCTCCTTGGCCTTTATATATGAGCCATGGTTTGCACTAGTGACCCTAGCCAAAGTTCCCCGTCTCCTCCAGTGGTGCAAATAGAATTAATTTCTTACCAGTACGTTGCACCAGCTAAAGAGGGGGACATGTGACCTCTCCACATGACCCAGCCCAGGGCCCCGCGCTCTCCCTCTCTCCTCTCCTCCCCATGATTCATCCCATGTTACCTGGGGGAGGGGAGGGTGGGGCTCTGTCCTCCTCCTGCTGCGCCGCAGACTTCTGAACTGCAGAGCTCTCCAGAACCACAATGGTGAAAGGAGCAGAATGTGTAGTTCCTCTGGCATGGCTGTACCGCCCCCAGCCCTTCCACGTAGCTACGTGCCTGCATCTCCTGTCCGGGGTCTGTACAGCATCCCCGCCGGAGGAGAAAGCTGTGGGGGGCGAGCCTAGGGGCAGTACAGCCATGCTAGAGGATCTGCTGGCATGGGGTTCTGCTCTTTTCACTGCTACTGTTCCCGGGAGAGCCCTGAACCACTGGGCTCTCCTGGGAACCGCAGCAGCAAAAGGAGCCCTGGCGACCCCACGCTGGCAGCTCCTCTGGTGCGGCTATACGCCCTCAGCCCTGTCCTCCGGCGGGGCTGCTGTACAGACCCCGGACAGGAGACGCAGGCATGTAGCTACATGGAAGGGCTGGGGGCGGTACAGCCATGCCAAAGGAGCTGCACATTCTGCTCCTTTCGCCACTGACCTTCCTGGGAGAGCCCTGCAGTTCAGGGCTCTCCTGGGAACCGCAACGGCGAAAGGAGCAGAACGTGGGCCCCACGCCAGCAGGTCCTCTGACGCGGCTGTACCGGTACCGCCCCAGCTCTGCCCTCTGGCAGGGCTTCCTACAGACCCCAGACAGGAGACGCTAGACAAAAATGCGTGGAACAGGGTGGTGGTACAAGTGGGGATGGTACAGCCACACCAGAGGAGCTGCCCCACTTTCTGCTCCTTCTCTGCCTTTCCAATACAGTGTACCAGGTATAAATATCTTACTGGCAGACCGGACCGGACCGCCCTACTTGCACCACTGCTCTTCTCTGCTGTATTGTATGGTGGTGTGCTAATTGCCACCGTCCATCCCAGAAGTGGCTCATTTCAGTGATGCTGTGTGTATAGTTTGCAATGCACTTCGAGACCCTTTAGAATGAAAGGTGCTAGAGAAAGTTCACATTTTATTTTTAAGTATCCAGTTCAATAAAATAATAACTGAATATAACAGGTTCAATGCTTAGCGCTATCTCTGAGAAGATCTTTCCTTCACCCTAGTGACCACTCCGGATCTGCCTGCGAAGGAGTCAGATGTTGCTCTGGCCGTGGCCCTCCAGCAGGAGCTCAAAGAAGAAGTACCTGGAAGTCTGGAAGAGGCAGGCTTATTTTTTTGTCAGATCTGTCAGAAGGACCTCTCAGCCATGAATGCAACACGACGGGAGCAGCATGTTAACAGGTGAAAGGCCAGTGTTTATTATTGCCCTCTCTCCCCTGGCCTCCTAGACTAAAGACTCAGCCAGCCTAGCTACTGTAGGAAAGGATAAACGCTGAGGCTGTGTCACGGTAATTTTAACATTGAAGGTGTAAGTGAATATAACCTGTTGTGGGGGGGTCACAGCAGGGACTGAATTCTTTGTCCCATGGCTCTCCCTGGAGTGTGTGGTGAGGCCGAGTTTTCTGCTACTCTCCCAGCGTGCGTCTTTCAGTGTAAGCCTCAGCGGGGTGCGTTAATGAAGACAGCATGGCTAGTAAGTAAGTGATGGTCTATGAAAGCATGTGTTTGACAATCCAAGTTTGAATGCTGCCAGTCCCAGCCCACAAAGTAGTCTTCGTCGTACAGCACTTCCAAGCTGTCACCCTCATAGGCCCATGGACTCAGCAGGCTGGGTCGAACAGCACCTCCAAGCTGTCACCCTCATATGCCATGGGCACCGTACCGGAATAGAATATGCCTGAGCGGGTTGGGTCGAGCAGCACTTTCAATCTGCCACCCTCATATGTCCCAGGTTCAGCACGTCCCTGTCCCCACTTTCAAGTTACGGTTGTTTTGGTAGTAATCCGTTTGATGAGCAAACCCCACAGGATTTTTGGGTGCTGCAGGAATCTTTAGCTTAGGTACGAGGAGCGTTGCTGCAGAGCGAATGGGGAAGCCAAAAAACACCCACGAGGGGGGGCGAGAGAGAGAGAGGGAGAGAAGCAACCAGCTTAACCATGAAGGTTATTTATTGCCAGGTAATAACTATACAAGGGGAGTGAAACAAACAAAACAGTTATAATATTAAATCTAACTTAAATTTGATTATAAAAGTCAGGTTTAATAAACTATAACTGATCACACAAGTCAGGGTCAGAAGGCTGTATCTAGAGAGAGCTCACCACTCCGTGAAGCTTGAACTGGTCGGGGTTCCCAGGTGGTGGTGGTAGCTGCGGGTCCGGAGTGCTGGGGACAGGCAGAGCCCCCAGCACGATCAATCAGGAGAAGATGAAGTCCCAATGGAACTGATGCAGATTTTGAATCTGGGCATCAGAGCACTTACTTGAGCGTGGGTAGGGAGTTTTGTAGGGAAAGAACAATGGTTCAAGGGAGAACACTAGATTTGTTTGTGGGTAAACTGATGGCTCAAGGGAGTACACCAACGTTATTTTGTTCAGGCTAGACAATAGGAACTGATTATTCCAGGCTATGGGCGGTGTTCCTTTGAGGGAGCTCACAATGCAATTAGGCAGCTTCAGTATTTTGGATATCAATAAAGGATTTATTACTGGAATTGGTCTGATAACTACTGAGCTGGGTGTGTGCAGGTGTGGGTTCATTAACATCTGGAGCAGAGATTCCCCATCATGCAGTGCTTTCCTACTTTCTTCTGATTGGCTTTGGTTCAAGCAGAGGCTGGAGGGTCGTGGGGGGAAGGTCTTTCGTGAGTCAAACAGGCTGGATACTGCGCCCTGGTTCCCCAAGAACACAGAGCTGATAGGTAACAGTGTATATATGTAACACACACTTCTTTAGGGAATGTTACTTTGGTTGTTTCAGGCATTAGAGCTAATCACTCCAGTTCTTCTTTAATGTAGTTTAAAAGTGTTAGTGTGAGCGGAGTTTAAAATACTTTAAAGAGCAAACCCTGCTGTTTTCCCGCAGGTGTCTGGATGAGATGGAGAAGTCACAGGTGTCCTCTTCCAGCAACCCACAGATCCCTGATTGCCCCATCTGTGGGAAGCAGTTCCATACGCCAAAAAGCCGAGCCAGTCACTTGAAACGCTGCGCTGTCAAGATGGAAGTCCCTCCGCAGTTGCTTCTCCAGGCAGTGCAATCGCAGGCATTGGCCCTGGGTGATGGGCTCCCTGTAGCACCCAGGTGAGCTGGAGCAAATCAGCGATGTTAGTAGCATCCTTAGAGCCAGGGTAAGCGCACACACTGTCTGGGCTCTGAAACTAGGAGGAATCGGGTAGGAGCCAGCTTCAGCACCTTAGTTGAAGAAAGCTGCAGTTTAGTTGGAGAGAGAACAGTAGGGCAACCAAGATGATCAGTAGGGTGGCGGGGCTAATAGCTGAGCAGAGAGGGGCAAAACAAGGATTAGTCTTGCATTGACTTGGATGAGGTGTTTACACTAGCTTAGGTAATTATAAAAATTAAACTGAATGGTCCATTGGAGTTTATTAGACAGACTGGAGCTAAGGAACATTTTGTACCTGGACACGAAGAGGGAATACAATAAGAATCGGATGTATAAAAATTTATTCTGAGAATGTGGGCTAGGTGGAATGGACTTTTAGCTGAGCTGGTGGCCTCAAGTCTATATCACAGGTGGGTAAACTACGGCCCCGCGGGCCACGTCTGGCCCGCGGGACTATCCTGCCCGGCCCTTGAGCTCCTGGCCGGGAAGGCTAGCCCCTGGCCCCTCCCCTGCTGTCCCTCCTCCCTCTCAGCCTCAGCTTGCTGTGCTGCCAGCACTCTGGGCGGTGGAGCTGCGAGCTCCTGCCAGGCGGCATGGCTGGCTCCGGCCGGGTGGCGCGGCTGCCAGTCCTGGTGTTCTGAATGACTTGGTAAGCGGACGGGGAGCCGGGGGGCTGGATAAGGGGCAGAGGGTCCCGGGGGGCAGTCAGTGGACAGGGAGCAGCGGGCGGTTGGATAGGCGTGGGAGTCCCGGGGGGCCTGTCAGGGGGCGGGGGTGTGGATAGGGGTTGGGGCAGTCAGGGGACAGGGAGCAGGTGGGGTTCTTGAGGACGGTTGGGGTGGGGGGTCCCGAGAGGGGGCGGTCAGGGGACAAGGAGTAGGGGGTTTGGATGGGGCGGCGGTTTTGATGGGGGCAGTCAGGAGACAGGAAGTGAGAGGGGGCAGATAGGGGGTGGGGACCCGGCAGTTTAGGGAGGCACAGCCTTCCCTACCCGGCCCTCCATACAGTTTCGGAATCCCGATGTGGCCCTCAGGCCAAAAAGTTTGCCCACCCCTCGTCTATATAGTAAAGCAAACATTGACTGACTACTAAGTTCAATACGTGGAAAGTCCATTAGTCCCATTGGGTTGGGGAGGAGCTGATTCCTGTCCCCCCAGCCCCGTGGGAAATGGCACAGCAATTTTTGGTGTTTGGGCTTTTTGCCCCACATTGACTGTTTTTTTGCTGTTCTCTGGCACCAAGTTTTAAAGGACGTGGGACCGAAAAGGCAGAGTTGCAAACAAAAGATTCCAGAAGTAGCTATGAAGCACTTACAGCCAGCTTCTGGTACTGTGTAACACACTTCTATGTTTTGCTTCAGTGGCGTCCTCCCTGCCCTTCTCTTGACCTCCTAGATAGTGACATTGATGAATTAATGAAAATGATAAATGCTTCCCTCTGTTCAGGAGTAGTTTACTGTGAATGGTTTCCCCTTATTCTGGAAATGGGAATCTACCTAAGTGATTAGAGCAACTGATATGGAGGGTAGAGTGCTCCTCATCTCTGATCCGGTTGCAGTTAACTTGTGTGTCATGCTGCATTCTTACATTTCAGCAATCAGCTCAGTAGGTCAAAGCGAAAAGGCTCCTCCAAAGAGAAGGAGTCAAAGAAAAAGCGGAAGACATCCAAGGTGGAGACCAAAGATGAGGATCTTCTGGTTGCCATGGCAATGTCACGATCTCTGCTGGAGCAAATAAGGCAGGAGCAAGCAAAATCGGTAACAACCATTAAACTGGAGAGTGCTTTGCCAATCAAGTGGAAGCCTGGAGCAGGTACATATTGAAGTGTCTTAGTGTTAGTGGCTGGCAGTGTTTTAGGAACAACGTAACACAGTATATCCTGGATTAAAACCTAAGTGATGTGTGTGTATGACAGCCCTGCCTGTATTTCGTGTCAGTTTCTAACGCAATACGTAATTCCTACACAAAACTTAGTTAAAAGGGATTTCTGGTCGTCCGTGAGTTTCAGTGGAGTCCCCTTGTAGTCTTACACTTTTTCTGTTGTTGGGAGTTTTGAAATTGTAGATTTTTTTTTTTTTTTTTTTGTACAGTGTAGAAATGAACAGCTATGGGGTCACTCCATTTTTCCACTGCCATGTACTCTGCATTACTCCTTATTATCCAACCTGAATCACACTGCTCACCCAACCTTACCTGTGCCCCATGTAACGGCTGTGATGGACATGTGATGGAGAATGGATAGTGGTGGCTGCATGCCTTGCTTATGCAGCACGCAATAAAGATTTTGAAAGAAAGCCAGTTGGCTGTGGTAAGGTGGGTGAACATACTCTTCAGGAGTGTGCTCAAATTCTCCTTAGAATCCTCCTGCCAAGGCTCCAGTTACTGAGCTCACAGCTGCATTGGGGAATGCAGAAGAGCCCTGCAGTGGCAAAAGTGAGCCAGTAAGGCACAGAGATTGCTGAATGGCAGTTGTGTGGAGTTGGGGACCTACTGTTGGGCATCAGACGTCACAAAGA